TATGCTTAATTTTTGCAGGGGTGAAGTCATAGCCAAAGCTGGGGCTGAGGAAACAGTTGTACATACAGATATCGGTAAGGGTAAAGGTTGTGTGAGTTTTCTGGGGTGTTTTTTTGTGTTTTTTTTTCCCTGCTTGCTTTCTTCACTGCAGATCATGAGACTAATGAGAGATGGTTTAAGCCTGTGGGCTTGCACAAGCCATTACAGCTGAGGCTATATTAAAGCAGGAACAAGCAGCACTTGACTATACTCTTCCAGTTTCCTTCATTACAAGGAAGCTGCTGCATAGGAAAGGGTAAAGTTAAGGCTTCTTTCCATCCTGGCTGCCCAGTTGCAGTGCCCTATGGACACCATTAAACCTGCTCTTTTCCCCACCTTACCTCAGTGAGTCAGGAATTTTCCCTTTTGAGTCCTGTTCTAATAGCTTTCTCTTCCTCCTCCCACAGATCTGAAGAAACTTGCAGAAATACGCCAACAAATTCCTATTTTAACCCAGAAACGTTGTGATCTCTATGGCATAGAGATGAAAAAGTGAAGCTAGGTAAATAGCGAAGCTTCACTGGGCACAATGGTGCTGGCTTTCATCTTCCCTTGCTAGTTGTGTCACAATCTACTGCTAAGTCTACCAGTTACATTAAAAAAACCAAACCCAAAACCAACAACAAAAAGCCTGGCTGGTGTAATTCTAAAATTGATTCAAATAGAAGTTTTATATCTCCTCTGATACTTTAGTATTTCCTAGTATTTTTACAGCTAGGATGAAGATGGAGGTGGAATCAGTTCAACACAGTAGCAGTTAACATTGCTTTTTATGCATCCCAATGTTTTAGTTACCTTTGGGGGCTTTATTTTTTTTTATTTTTTTTTGGAGAACAGAAATGGGAACATTTTTTTTTTTTTTTTTTTTTTTTTTGTAGAACAGAAATGGGAATGCTGTTCTCTCTAAAAATCCTCTGAATTCAGCTTTAGTATTATGAATTTTTCAGTAAATTATCAAGTAATCTAGAAGCATTATTATTCCACCTCTGTCCTTTAGTTGTATATGTGCCTTTACAAAGTTCCTTGAATGTCCAACTTCTAACTTGGAAACCTTAAAATTTAACACAGTAAGCAAAACAGGCCAAATTCTGCTCTGCATTACTTAAGGCCAATGAAAGAAGCTGCTAGACAGAACTACTACTACAGAAGCATCTGTAACGGGTTTTGGTGCACATGTCCTGCCTGAAATTATGTATTAAATTCACCTTGTTGCAATTCCCGTTTATTGCTCAAGTGGTGTGGGTTACTATTTTGTTACAGCGATTCACTTGTTGCCACAGTTTTGCTCTATACACTGCACTGCCTCCTTAACAGTGTCTGAATGGGCTTTAATTCTGCTGCTGTCTGGCAGTCTTCACCTGAGGTTGAAGGGAGTCAGGCAAAAGGATTAGAGAGGTTGTTGCTGGTTAAGTCTTTCTGTCCACAGCTTCCCAGAAGCCAGGTATTAGGTGTGGGTTTTACGCAGGAGAGATATCATTAAAGTAAGCCAAACCCCGCAGCATCTTTCCCCTCAAAAGACAGGTCACACCCTTCCACTCAGTGGCATTATCTCTTCCAGCAGGCCTTTCTTGGTCTCTATTTCTCAATGCATTTTGGTGTACACACTGTACTGGAACTCTTAAGAAACAAGCCACAGAGCATAAGGTGAAATGAAGATTTATTTGTTGAAAAAAAAAATAAATATAAAAAAATTAACAATTTACCATTTGAGTCAAGTCTCCTGCATTAATTAGTGCCTCCCCCGTAATCAACAATCAGCATCCATGACGGCCATCACTGGGCTCCAACTTCTAAATCATAACAACTATTATACATCCATTTTTCTAAACTACTCCATCTTTCCCTCCCCTCTCTATACTAGTTTGACACGCAACAGAGCAGGAACTGACTACTACTACTACCTTTGGAGGATTAAACTAGTGCAGGATTCTCATGGGCTGATCGCTTAATTTTAAAAACACAAAGTGCAGTCTGCAACAGACAACGGAATCCGTGTCCTGGACCCTCCTCCCCGGGAATCCCAAAGGGAGAGAATGGATCAAAACCTGTAGCGAGCTACTCTGGTGAACCCAGCTGGAGAGGTGACATGAGCTCAGTCCTCTTCTGTCTCCCAAGATAATGTCTAACCACCTGGTTTTATTAGGATGTTTTAGGGGTCTCCAGTGTGATCCACTCAAGTGATACAAACAGGATTCTGAATTTTTGGGGTTTTCAGTGAGAAGTACACAATCAGTTCTTGGCTAGGTAATACTCAAAGCAGTCAGTACTCAGTCTCTGTGGTGGTAGAAAACAGGCACTTTAAGTATCCATATTATACATATGCACCAGTTTTCTGTAAGTATAGAAAACTAGCCAGTAATAACCCTGAAATAGCTCCAGAATTTCAGCCTGTGAATATTTAAATTCTTTTTAAAGAAACAGCAGAAAACACAGTAATAGCTGCTGTATCAGGCAGCGTTATTACCACTGCAGCTCGAAAGCCTGGTTAAAGCTTCATCTAAGCTGCTCTTGATAGTTCCAGAGTAAGTTACAGTGCAGCTCCTTAGTAGCTGTTAGTTTCCTCTTCACTTTCCATTGGCAGTTAGATCCTAGTAATTCAAGTCAAAACTTCTAATCTCCATTTTGGCAGACTTTAACATGACAAACAGGGATTTTACAGGATCAGAATGAAGATCCAAGACACCTGTGTGCAGAAGCGACTTCTCCGAATTTCTGGGATAGACCACATTTATACAATCTTCAGTACCAGCTTCCTATATCATTGACAGATTTACTTTTTTTTTAAATAGCAGCAATACTTGTTTCACGTCAGCTCTTGATCCCTACTAAAGAAAATCTTTTGTCAAAGTTCACATGCACACTTGGCTTAAAGCCAAACCTCAACTACATCAGCCATTTAAAAAAAAAAAAAACAACAAAAAAAGGAAAACCACCCACAAAACCATAATCCCTTGCACTAAAGGGATCCACTGGTATACACACAGTAACAAGGCATCAGCTACTCAGATTCCCGGCCTTCCTGGCTGGATTTCCATTCCCCTGTAATCTTCAGCTCTCAAGATCATACCTCGATGGGTGATGGAAGCAATCAGAGATAAGACTTGTTAATTCCTTATCTCCTTCTCATTTTTTCTTCAAAGTTGAAGTGAGAGAAGATGACAGGGACTGAGTATTAGTTCTTCCTTGATTCAGCAGTGCGCAGAGAACGCTTTCATCCAGACCTGTTCTTATACATGTCAGAGAGAGATACTTGAAGGTAATATTTATTTTTTTCAGTTTACAGGTGATACGTCATTTACAAAAAAAAAATACAATGCATCCTTTCAGTGCAGTTTCAAACTAGTTCGAAAACAGGCAAAAGTCTGTGATGATTTGGAATGCTAGTATTTGACAGCACATGCTTTTTTCCCTTAATTGATTGGGTGGGGTAAGGAATGGGGTACAGGTATGGTGAAGAGGAGAAAATGCCAATGGAAGTAAGGCCATGCGAATAAAAACTCCTCGGGAGAACAGGACACATCAGTCAGTCTGGCGTATTTTTTTTCTCAGGTAAGTGATGCAGAGATTGGAAGTCCCAGAAGACAATCAACACTTGTTATGTGCAGTGCCCTTCAAAGCCACCAGTACCTTCCAAAGCTTTCAACTCTACACCAACACTGTGATTTCAGGTCACCTACTGAGCTAGCTAAAATAGAATGATCAAATCTTTATGTCTACTCTCTGCCATTTGTACTCTCAACTCCAGTTGCCAGGAGAAAGGAAGGTCAAGTTGAAAACAGAAGCTGCTGCTACATGGTGGCACAACTAGAGAACAAGACAGTGACCACAGCATCAATTCATTTCTTTAAAAGATGAAATCCATTATAGACAATTCAGCACAAGCAAATCTATGATTTCGGGATGAAAAGGAGCCCAAATCAGAGTATTGTAAATTAAGCTACACCAGTTGAGTATCTGCATGAGGTTTATCCAGTCACATCCGTCCAGGGAAAGGCAAGATGAACTGACTGACTTCCATTCCAGGAAGATCAACCCAGAGCAACAGAGCCCTCTCGCAGGTTCCCAGTTAAAGAAAGACAGTTTATACTAGTATTTACCAATCCGCTATTTGCAGAGCAGTTGCTTCCTTTCTACAGTGTTTGTCATCTTGGACAAGACAGGGTCTAAAGAACAAGGAAAGCAGTACAGATTCCAAATCCAGTATTTGACATTTTAGCCTACACTTTGTTCCTTATCTCACTTAATCCTGCAAAGGGGCTATTACAAGGAGCAGATCGGAACACAGCAGTCTCTAGAGACTGAAGAGAATTTAGAGGGCCTACTGGCTGTTACGTATAAGCAAAAGCATCAGCGATCACAAAGCTTATATGCAAGCATGACCTTACCTTGGCAGCTCTACTCCCAGCAGCGCTTCCTGTTCGTGAAAGTCCCTCTGAACCCTCCAGAACAATTTCCTGTGACATTCAAGTAAGGACTGCTGCACAGGAACACAGCCTTTCTTCCAGTAAAGCCTACACCAAAGCAGGTTATCCGACCTCTTTCCCCAGCTGACCTTTTTACTAGCTTTCCCATAGAGTATGCTAGGGCTTTCTGGGGTGAGGATAAGGACTATCAAATTAATTCCCTAATAGCTGCCACAGGACTGTTTCTAAGTAAGTTATGCAGAGGGTGGGAGGGGCTCTAAGGGAAGACTGTGCATGCTTGCATATATTTACAGGGATTCTCTCCACATCTACTTACTTAAAAAAACTCCTCTATATTATTAAACAGTTTGAAAATTATTTTTTTTCCTTTTTGCAAAATTAAAATCAACCCTCAAGGATTAATTGCATATAAAAAAGAAACCTATTTTACAGCACTGACTAGTATTACCTTTAAAATCAACAGGAAAAAAATCCCACATGCTGTAAGATTATTTAATAAAGCAAAAATCGCCCACAACTTAATGACCCAAAATGAACCAGTGTGAAGTTTTTATCTGCATGGCCAAAATATCTTCCTTTTGTTCCCCTGCAACTTTATTTCCCTTAACACGCTTTAAGGTTTTTTGCTGCAGAAGGACCAAGAAGCAACACCGCATACTTCCTTAAACAACCACTCCCACAACACCTAAACATTTAACAGATGTAGCAAATGACAACACCACGAAGGGGAAAAAACTAAGTTCCGCCATTCAACATGGTCTGCAACAGCGTCTCTAGGGCTGGCTGAAGTGGGCAACTTCACTTTAGAAGGTCATTTCCTCCTTGTTTCTTTACAGTGTTGGTGGTTTCAATCCATACTTCTTTCCAACTTCTGTCTGGGCATAGGCAGCATCACAGAGGGAGTAGAGGTGGGCCATCTCCATTTCGGATTTGGCCAGGTTGATAGCTTTGTTGAACATTTCAATGGCTTTATCCAGATTGCCTCTGAAAGAAACCAAAACGTAGTCCAATTGGCAAAATAATCTTTTAATCTCTACAGTTATCTTTTTCCCTTCAGGACTTAAACGCTCCACTACGAACTGCTCAAAAGGACTTTGGGAAGAACCACCACGAGAACTTGCAATGATGGGGGGGAAACCGAGATAAGTGTTAAAAACCTAAGTAACTTGCCCAGCTGTTAAACAGCCTTCCTCTTGAGAGCCCCCCACAAGTAATAGTGGAGCATAAAATGTTCTCCATTGGACACCAAGTTTACTACAGCGATAATCCTGGCACAACTAAATGAACTCTTAACTCCCTTGGAAAGAGTTTGTATACTTTAGAGGAAAAACTAGCACAGACAAAATCTCACATTATTTAAATATAAAATACTTGCAAAATTTCTCATGGCAACAGTTTGCCTATGCTTTTGATGGTTAGACATGTTAAAAAAAAGTAGCCTCAACTATACTTTCAGCTACAACCCAAACTTTTGCATAACTGTAACACAATTCTTTACCCCATGAACTTGCAAACTGCAGTCTTGTTGGAATTAAACCCAAACTATCAGGCTTGAGAAGAGAGTTCAGGATCCTCAGTACAAATGGTCCACTATGACATGTCTAAGGACTACATTAGATACAAAGGAAGCCTAGTGATGATTAAGGAAGCCACTCTGAATGCAGACGGGATTTATTTAAACATTTGCAGTCATGTGCAAGTTGTCCAGTAAGTATGAAATTGGTGAACATGGGAACGTGTGAGATCACAATGTAGAATTATGCCATAGAGAAAGGAAAGCTTTACCCAAGAGCTGCAGAACAAAATCAGGGCTTTGCATAAGAGCTGGCCTTGCACAGGACTGGGGAGAAGATCTTCAGAAACACTTAAGATCCTAAGGAAATCTAAAGGACTACTCTAATTTCAAAAGCAACTAAGAACTCATAACACTGCAATTCAACGTTACCTTTGCACTTCAATCGTTCCCATGGTTTCATATGCAAAATCACATTTGTTATCAATTTCAATGGCCTTGCTTATGAGTTCTAACCCTTTGTCTAAATCTTGCTTCCACTGGAGCTGAAGTAAACTAAAAGGGAAAGAAAAATTAGAACACACTCTTCTCAAACCCCTGATAATGTAAGAAAAATAAAATTAAAAAAATCACAAACGTATTGAATTCTTACAACAGGATAGACAGTAACTTCGTAGCTTTTAAAAACACATATGCAAAAATCATTTTCAATAAGCAATGTTACCAGTTTAATGACTAGAGAAAAGTAAATTTCTACCAAGACCTGTTAAAAGTTGTTCTATGAAAGAGGTAAAAGATACACTTCAAGTAATTACTCCATTAGGAAAGAACACTAAGGAAACTTGCCTGAAACTTACTTACAGTTTGGTCAGTAAAATGTAGGAATACATTTAACAGCACTAAGGTGTTTTAACAAAGTTCCTTCTCCTGGCTAAAGTTCTAAACACAAACACTCAGTTCAGGTTGATTTATCTAAACACACAAACTGCCCTTGACCAAAAAGATCACCAACTCAATACATACCCTTTATGAACATACGTAGTAGCATTGTCTGGTTCAAGGTCAATGCATTTATCATACATTTCGTCAGCCTTGCCAAACTGCTGTTGATCAGTTAGTGCCTGCATCAGAAGAGAAACCTATATGTCAATATGCAAACAAAACACACACTCTGCACTAGGCTAATTCTAATTAAAAACATATTGACGATGTGAAATTTGATATAGCTCTCTTATTGTAGAACTGGCTCTGCACATCAATTACCAGAGTTAAGTTTCAAAAGTGAGCCTTTTTAGAAGAAAGAGAAAGCTGCTAGGCTTTAATACACAAATTACTGATCCAAGGTACCATCTGTAATGGAAGATCTGCAAGCAACATGCTAAATGTACTGCAAGTAAAACCATTCTAAAAGCCTGTACCTGCAAGCCTCAACTTTTTCCTTTTCCGAATACAGTTCTTTCAAAAGGAAACACATCCATATTTCCTGCCTACTTAAAATCAGAACATCTCATGCTACGTACTAGAACCAGCAGCATGTTTTCTCAGAGGAGAAATGAAAGTCTCTGTTGTAAGTACACTCTTGTATACCTGTATGAAACTTTGCTTGACCAGCATACCTCATTTGTAGCAGAATCAAACTGTTACCCTGGTTCCACACATCTAACTCTCAGATTACCCAAAGAATTCCCAACAGCCATCAAGTGAGATGCCACACACATGCAGGAATTCAAGGGGAAGTGCATGTGGACATCTGTCTCCTGAACCACCCTTAGACTCTTACCACTTACACCCTGCTCCACCAATTGCCCGTCTACTTCCTCTACCCCAGAACACCCACTCCCATAAATTCAGCTGGCTTATCAAAGACAGCATGTGTTACCTCAGAACTTAAAGTTCTTCGTATGTTATTTGAAGAAGTGCATGCAATCTAAGATTAAAAGGTACAAGAGAATGCAGCCTTTTCTTTAAGAGAGAGAAAAATTTACCTGAGCATAGAGTGCATAGCCTTCAGCACACTTTGGAAATTTTTTTATGACATCTTCAAACCCTTTCATGGCTACTTGCACAGGCAAAGGATTATTTCCTGTATAAGCTTGGCGATACTATTTGAGAAAGAAAAAAAAAAAGGAAAAAAATTAAACACCACCAGACACACACACAAAAAGGCTCATAAGACCTCTACCCACCTCCCCAAGAATTACAAGTTCCACAAGCTGATACATCCTACCAAATCTGTTTTTAGGAGCCTACCCTGTGTCCAAGTCTCTGGCAGAGTGGGCTTCGAGAGGAGAAAGTCTGAAAGGAGAAGCCATAATGCCTGATACTTGCCAATAGCCTCCCTCTATTTCAAAAGCCTAGAAACTCCAAGCCTGAATTTCTTCCTTGTTCACACTATGTAAAGCTGTCCTCAGAAGATTCCTGCACGCGGAGGTACTGTACTACCTTGAAATAGTTTGGTTCCAAGTTCTTGAAGATAAGTGTTTTCCCCAACATTTATACGATACAGTAAGAGTGAGGATTTCTGTTCCTCTACCACAGCTCAGAAAATATGACCTACTGTTTGAATAACAAACACTGCTAAATTACAGTAGCAAACCCTTACTCCAACTGAAAAAATGGTTGCATTACTTCTTGACCTTATTATTATAAGATAGAGGAGTCTATTGTCCTACTTTCCTATTAAGTTGGAATTAAAAGAGAGAAATGCAATATGTTTGCCAGAACTCTTTAAAAGAAGTACCCAGATAAACACCAGTGTGTTACCTACCAGGGCGAAACATTTCTGTGCTTGAGCCAAGGCAGAATCGGGTCGCAATCGAATACATTCATCAAAGTCTTCCACAGCCTCTTCAATTTGGTCAAGCAGGATTTTCAGCTAGCCAGAATGAAAGAAAATACTATTTCTGTATTTAATCTGCGGTTCGGACACTTAAGTGGTAATTCAGTTAGTGTCAGTCACTCATATCATCTCCAGTTCAGTTTTAGAACTGCCTAGAAACCTACAAAACCCATGACTAAACATCACTGCCACAAAATAGCAGAGCCACTAGGGAAACTTTGGCTTCAGACACAAAAAGGCAATGTCCAGGTGTAAGACTGAGAATGCATTTTGGACTGTTGCCATTACTGCTTTAGCATCATGTCCCATCTCCAAAACTATGCTGTATTTTCTCAAGTTGCTTTGCCTCACTGCAGTTAATACCTGTTGACTATTTGGATGTCAGAACATTTTGGCTTTCTCAGCTTGCATTGCAACCATTTTAGGGATGGTTTTTTTTGACATTCTCATTCCTCCACAAGAGATGAGCTCACTTCATCATTCTATCACTTTACTTTGAAGCTACTATAAAACACTGATTTTCAATCTGCAGGAAACCCTCACTCCCTTCAATCAACACATAACACCATTCCTATTTCTCAGCACTTAAAAAAATGTAATGAATTCAAGGAAAGAGGAACCTGATCTGTGGAAGCAGTCCTTATGAATACAACTCAACATATCTGCATATAGCAGCGTTTCCTTTTTCTTCCAGCATCTTTTAGATTACAGTTCTGTAGAAGCAGGCCGCTCTAGGGCAACAAACTAGTCAAGGGCACAGCAGCATCAGAAGCTAGAGAGAGATGAGCTGAATAGATGCAAATCTGGGCCACAGTGCTGCAGATACTGAGTTATCAGGAAGACAGGTTACACCCGTTGCACCAAAGTTTCCTTCTATGCAGATGCTGCTCTGCTATGTCAGTTAACAGCTCATAGAGCATCTTATATCTGGTGTAAAAGTATATAAGCCCTATTACTTTTAAGTGAAATTTCATACTGATAGCGGGCTGAACCTGTGTTGCTCTGCCTTCTTTCCTATAGCTACAGAAATAAACTGCTTCTGCCTGACCTGAACCTGCAAACAAGACTGTGTAGTTATTCTGCAACAGTTCCAAATAAGGAGTTCATGCTTTTATGCCACAAACAGTATCAAGTGTCTCTGATGACAGACAGGTCTTTTAGTCTCCTTTTAGCATATACTGAAAGATTCAAGTACTGGGACAAAACCTCTAAAGTTTCTTACTTGTCCTCGATGATGGTAAACATCTGCATTCTGAGGGTCAATATCAGCAGCCATGTTAAAGTCTTGAGTGGACAGCACAGGCTGCTGCTGCTGCATATACATACTTCCTCGTTTGATCAGAGCATTAGCTCGGAGCTGTAAAAAATTTCGAATATTAGTTACTCCAATGCTTCTCCAGATTTAAGGCTTTTTTCCAATTACAGTACGTTTTACATTTGACTAATTTATCCCACTGACAGATTTAATTCATTCTAAGCAGGAATAAATTTCTTCTTGTCTCTAAATGAATCAGCTCCCTTGCTTAATTTCAAATGTCAGCCTATGCTTTCATCTCAGTGGATTTTCAGCCCCCACCAACCTTTATAAGACAAGTTCCCTATGCTTAGAAATGCATCAACGTTTTTGAAGCAGGTGAACATGAAAGTAACAATTAATGTTTTTCTCTTATCTGTGAACTGATTTTTCAGACTCTGTAAACCTCCAATTCGTTTAACTTCCTTTTGTTCTTTAGTTTGTACCACTTAGCCCATCTGCCTCAAAAATCCAACCACTCAACTGTGACACATTCTTACCTTCACATTTGCATCTTCCATACTGATGACCTGATCTAGGTCAGGTTTAGCAGCATTTGCGTTGCCAATAAGTAAGTAGAAAGTAGCTCGGAGAAGCAAAGCTTCTGCCAGGTATTTTCCCTTTGCTTCAATTTCTTTTGTGCTTTCACTGATAATCTTGTCATAGTTCTCCTCTTCCATATATTGTTTTGCTCTCAAATAACCGGAGCTGTAAATGATGTAATAACAGTTGTCTATATACACATGCATTCACTAAAAACTGCAATTTCAATTCAGACTTTTCGTTAAAGCATAACAAATACCAATTTTTGCTACAGTCAGTGGTAACACCAGCATATAACTAAAGTTACAAATATTCCTGAACTTAACCATCACAGACTGAAAACAATTTAGACAAAGACTGGCCAAATTACACTGGAAATAAAGAAGAATAGTATTTTAAAGCTCTTGAACTTGAGCTTCATTTGTGTCTTGCAAATTTTTTTTACATTAAGGGCAGCAATAGTATCTGCCTTAAAACAAGAGGTCTGGGATGGAATTCAGGTCAGAAAAGTGAAATATTAAACCTAACAATGTGCAGTTTATACGTGACAGACAGGATTTCAAAGTAAAAATCACAGTAAGCACTGGTTTGTCCTCAGCTAAGTTCCTGGATTCAGTAAATCTGCCTGTAGATCGGGATATTCATCTTCCTTCAAACAAATAAAAAAAATCCTAACACTATTTGCAACAGTTTCCATACTGACAAGAGGGATATCTTCCCAAAATAAACTGGAAAGCAACATAGTAAGTTAAAGCACTATTCATGTGGTCCTCACACTTCACTCAGGAGAGAAAAAAATAATAAAAAAAGCTGTATCATTCTTTTATCAGTTCAAAGATCTCATTTAAGTGCAATTTAATTCCAGAAAGATAAAACACCCTTTTCAGCCTCAGCTGCCATAAGCTCTTTGTTTACAGTAACAAAGACTCTTTCCTAGCCTGTCTTCTCCCTTCCAATCCAAAGACTAACTCGCTCTCTTCACTGGAAACTCTCCTTCCATGTAAAACATTCCTTTCTCCAGGAGCATTCTTCAGCACTTTCCAGTACTCCCATCTCCTAAGATTTACTATGATACTGTAGTAAATACTCAGCAAATCTTCCCAATCTTCCCATTGCCCTTCCTCTGTTTAGTGAATTGAAGCCAGTCAGCATTCATCAAAAGTTTCATTTTTAACACTGACTTCACCTCACAGGCTCTCTTTATAACCACAGGATTTCCGATGCCAAGTGCTATAAAAACAACAGCAAGTTACACTGAGCAGAATGTAAAAGTCACTGAAAACTTAATTCCAGCAATAAACAATGCCCAACTGTACTGTACACTCACTTTTCTTTTACTTCAGAAGCCTCTCCCTCCTTATCCTTATCTTCATCTGATTTCTCACCCTTAAGCAAAGGTTGGGAGATTATATCATCTGTGAAAGAACTGAAGTAGGATTTAATGAACTGTGGTGAGGGCATCAGAGGCTCACGATTCTGAAACAGAGAAATGAGACTTCAAGTCATTAGATGGTAAGATCAAATGGTAAATACGAAAATGGATAATTTAATCATGAAACAACCAATGTATGCCTTTCTGCTATCTCATTTGATAGTCTGGAATTTTTGATCTGACAATTTGTAATTTTTGATCTGACAGTTTGTAATGTAGGGACTATTTAAGCTTCAGATCACAATGCAATACCTACCACTAGCAGAAATAAAGTGAAGATACTTAAGAGAGGAGGGAGATAGTGTCTTTCTGCACAGGTGACTAGAAATGAGAACTCTCATGATATTGTAAAACATTGCATAGATGTACTAAAGCTGAATGTGTGCACATAAACTGTCAAAAATATGCAAGCTGGAGGTTTAAGCATGAGCCTACACTCAAGCAGGTTCTGAAAAGCCATTTGCCCTTTTCTACAGCTTATGCAAGCCAAGCTGCTGTCTGTTGTTACAATGAAGACTAATGAGGCAATATCCTAATTCTACGTGGAGCTTGGCCGGGATACTACACAGGTTACCTGAAGCCCTGGAAGGTACAAAGCCCTGCCAGGTACAAATTCCTGTCTACAGCTGTAAAGTATTTCTTGCTCAAAATGAAAACTGCATACAAGAAATCTCTCCTGCAAGAAAACTCTGAATGTACTCTTCTGAACTTCTCTATTAATAAATTCTATCATAATACCGCCTATTTGAAGCACACCTATTTTGTGATGCTACCACCACCACACTAATGGCACAATTAATTTTTTATCACCTCGCCACCACACATTTATGTGAGTTTCTACAGGAAAGAAATTCAGCATCTCAAAACCAAGATGGATTTCAGTACTTCAACCGCTGTCACAAAAAAACCTAGGAAGAATGTTTTAGTAACAAGCAAGAACATTTTAGTACCTGTCCCAACATTTTTGTAAACTTACAGCCACTTAAAAATAACTGCACCTGGCTGCCTCTGTACTTCCACAGTTCTCTTTTCTGCAGTTTCCAAACATTAACACAAAGATGTCCAAGCACCAAAACAGAAAAGTACGAGCACCCATTTACAGAACTGGAACTGAAACAGCCTGTGACTGAGTGTTGCAAATAATCTGTGGTAGTTAGGAGATGAAGGAGTATTTTTCAAGACAGAATCAGGAAGTCTGACCTCTAAAAAAGAGGTCACTTCACACTGTCATTTTTTTCTTAAGCAATGCCTTTTTAGTTTTCTTATTACTTTAAAAAAACACCAAACAACCACCACCACAAACATACCGACCTTGAAACAGTATTATTTTACCACTTTCTAAAATGTAGGAATTCTCTTGTCAACTTCATATTTCCTACATTCAATTTCTACTCATAAAACCAAAAGTAACTTGGGGAAAGAGTCCTCAATCATAATTCTTCTCATTGTAAACTATTCATTACATAAGGAACCAATATTTTTATGCATTCTCAATTATTATTTATAGATCTTCCTATCTCACACATACTTTACTTAACACGCAACTGAACATTTGGCTACTACTGTTCCAACATATCCTGTTTCCACTATGTTGCAAGTCCAGAAAAGCCCCACATAGGGCAGAACACCAACTTACGGTGTCTCCTAAATGCTAATAAATTTGATTATTAAAGGGAAACTATCATTAGAAATGGACCTCTCTTCCATGCTGATGTTTCAAAAACCTTGAACAAGTTCCAAAAGAAAACAACATCGGTACAATAGTAGCTTTGTAGAAAACCATTTGTGTCGATTCTTACACTTCAGTAGACTAAGACAGTGACTTCCTTACAACAAATGTCAGAACGCCAACAATCAACATTTCAACAACTAGTCAGGTGAAATCAGAATTTGTCAGCAATATCACAAGTCCTACCTTGTACTTCTCTTTGGCCTTTTCTTTTCCAAGAAGTTTAAGAATTTTATCAGCTAATAACATACTTTGTTGGTTTTGAAAGGCTTCTAAAATGCAGACTGCAGTGACATCTAGGAAACAACATACAAAAGTGAGATTAAAGACAAATTCTGATAGTCACTGGAGCACACTGAAACGTGCCGCTGTTACAATGAGTCACTGTCAAACTAATACACAGCCTGTTTGAGGGTGAAAGTCTCTGTCTCCAGTTTTCTGTATTCACCACGTTCACCCTCCAAGATACACATTTCTGTCCAAAATGATCTTGTGATAAAAGGACTTCACCACAGTGAATGAAAGAAATAACATTTTTTTCTTGTTTTCATGTTTTTATCTAGAGACAAATACACTTAGATGAACAGTGCAAATGTATACTTTCAGCTTTCACCATTTCGAAACAGAGAATAGTAATTACATTCATAATCGGTTGGCATTTAGAGTTAATACAGCTTCTCTTCCAGGACTGGTCCTAGTTTTCTACTTTTAAAATTCACATTCAGTCCCATCACATCTCTCTTCTTCCTCAGTTTAAGAAACATTCTCATATTTCAATCTTTTCTGCTCACCTCTGTGACTTTGGAATGGAGCAAGTTGAAGAGAAATAACCTTGCTGGCCTATTTAAAGTGCTAGCCCATATCACATAACGTTCATTCACACATACAAGCCTCTGCAAATGTTAACTCATTGCTGCTCAAATCACACTTTGCAGTGTGAAGTGCACTCTTACTGTGCATTAACATTATTTTTCTGGATCCTCTAGTTAATGCAATACCACTAATTTTTCCTACTGCATTTGCACTTAAACATCAGTGAAGATGAATAGTTTGGACTTGAAATTCCAACAGCATATTGTTTGAATATAAGCAAAAATAAAGTCTTGCTCTTGAGTTTTAGGATAGTTTCTGCAATTCTACACCGCTATAGGGACTATTAGGCCACCATTTACACAGAGACTCTCTGCAGCTCTGACATGGTCAAGCACCACACTGGAGTGTCCTCAGGAAAACACACTATGCTCACAAAGAGCACAAAAGATAGCATGCGGTGATACCGTGCTGTATGACCTCAGCAGGCTTGTTTTGCCCAAAGCAGGCAGCTGTAAACTAGTGCCCAGATTTGGGTGAAGCAGCATCATCTTTCCAAATGATACTGCCAGGGATCACTGGAGCAGGTTTTTGCTGACAGTGGTGGGGTTTTTTTGAGTTTGTTTCATTTTGCTTTCCTCCACCACCCAGACATAGCCTAATTCCTGGAATTTTACTGGCCATATGTGGTTGGCAGGTAAAAACATTACTGTATTAGAATAATGGTGTTGTTCAGAAAAATGTATTTTAAGATCTGAAAAAACTGCAAGCTAAAACTCAAACACGAATCAAGGCTGAAAATAATTGCTACAAACATTACTGTTACTAATATTAAAAAGAAGTTACGTTTAAAAGCTATCCTACTATGGAGGGAACCTAATCATTCTTGGGGCTTTTATGGTCTGTCAGTTTATAGCAGCAACATAAGGTTTAGATCTTATTACAGCACTCTGGAAGTGCAGCTGTTAGTCAATTAGTGATTGCAATGGTCTGCACTTAAACGACCTAAGTAGTCCTTTTCTAGTCACTAGGGCCATGCAGGGCAGAAAGGCATTCTGTCAGTAGACAAACAGACAAATAAAATTTCCACATCTTATTTACCTTCTAATTTAGCAAACCTAATTCTTAGCTGTAATACATAATGAAACTAATTAAATTTAAGATTTGCCAGACCTTTGTCTAATTTTTTTGTCCTTTGATAATGAGCACAGCTGAAAATTCTTTTGCCTTTTAACATTCAGGAACAATTTCACGTGATGAAATTTAAATGGGCCCTTTCAAGCAGTGCCCCTTAGTTCAAAAGCGCCCTCAGAAAACACACCTGACCTGTAGTTTTCCCTACTTTCAAGGCTTCTCAGTCACATCTTCCCAATAGTTCAAAATATATTCCTTTAGCAATAGTATTTGGAAGCATTTGACACAGTAGTTTCTGCCAAATACACAGAGTTAATATTAAAAAAAAAGAAAAGGTTAAATCTGTTCCAATTTTAACAACATTTATACATCAGAATGAAATGTTAGTGAAGCTGTTTTCCTTTTAATACCTGCCAAATGCAGTTAAAGGATGTTAGTATCTTGTTTCTAACCATGTACCTCCATCAATACTGTATTACTGCAGTTACAGAAGTAAAAACAATCCCAGAAGCTACCATCTCCAAAGCACTGAGATAATTCCACTTTTAAGTATACATATCAAGAGACACTCACCTTCTAAACATTCTTTCTTGTTGTCTAGCTTCTCATGAGCTTTTGCGCGTCTGAAGAGAGCTTTTACATATTTAGGATTAAGCTCAACAGCCTTTGTGCAGTCTTGTGCCACTTCTGTCCATTTTTGCTGTGGGTAGAAAACCAACACAATGAGAGAGGGCCCTACTCAGCTGCATTATATTAGCTTCCCACTACCAACTCCAGGGTCATGCCCACCTAACAGTAGCTGTAGTTCCCAGGGCTCTGGTTCTACCTGCTTCCTTCTATCTCTGCAAGTTTCTCAGTAAGAAACTGCCAGGCACCACTGGAAGCCACCTGCACCAGAAGACCCACAAAACAGAAAAGGAATTCCTATAGAAAAATGAAACCAGACAGTTGTACAAAGCATATGGGAGAAGGTAATGAGCTGATGCAGAGATGCTTGCAGGAGCTAACACTGGGACTGAAAGACTGGTACAAAACAAACAGAAGAAAAAAGATGAAAATATAATGAAAACCCACAAACAAGTTTAATGAAGTGCTAAAATGCTGTTTTATTTTTTTAAATGTTATTTCAATTTACCATGTTATGTTACTACAAAGCAGCAGGAGTAGAGCTGGTCAAGGGTACTAAGAATTAAAAATCCACTTATCTGCAAAATTATCAAAACTTATCTAAAAACTGAAAATGAGGATTTGTTACAGCATGAATTAGTGTTATAAGTAGTATTTGATTAGACAGAAACTGTTTCATCTCTCTTCTAACCTTCAAGGTGATTTCTCTAATCACACAGTCTCTCACCTGATACTTCAGACTGTACAAAGCCAATTTTCCCACTCCTTTATACAGGTCACAAACTTGACCTCATAAGCAATTCTGCTGATACCATAACAGACAAGACTGGCTGACTTCTAAAACTAATACAAGTACACATATCTATCAAGTAAATGTTACTTCCATGTATGCAAAATTTACATCTTGGGCTTTAGTAGGACTTCTGTGACTGTTTTATTTACTTTTTGAAGTAGCATCCTTCAAAAGTATTTTGTCTTTCACCAAAAAGTTAAAGAAACACTTTTGCAGGGAGAAGCAAAAATAACTTCTATACAAGAAAATTGTTCCAGAAGAAATTAGAACTTTGTCTTACAAGAAAGGGACACATAAGAATTACACACAATATACTGAGAATTGTTATCAGAAAAAAAAAAATACGTGGAAAAGTACGATGAGCTAGTGAAAAACAGTTGCAAGCAATGTCATCTTGTTGTGGAGGCAGTACGTATCATCATCTGGAATCTTTCAGGGGACTAAAGAGACAAAATAGGTAATTTATAATGCAAATATTAGAATAAACACATAATCGTCTTTAATTTCTTACCAGTTGCTCATAGGCAGCAGCTCTATTTTGATAGAAAGTAGAAAGATCAAGGTTTTTCTCAGAAGGGCACAGGCTGATGGCCTCAGTATAACACTGAATAGCTTGCTCATATTTGCCTGCTTTAAAATATTTGTTTCCTTTGTTCTTGGCTGCTTGGGCTCTATCAAGAGGGGTCTGAAAAAGAAAATGATAGGTCAGTTCAAACAAGAAAAACATCACCACATGCAAGCTATGCACTTACAGGTTTATCTTCAAAGATAAATGGATAAATTAAATGGATCCGAGTAGTAAACTCTAGCCTAGACTTCTGAAAAATCTCACTCCTTCCACTTCCTGCAAAACATTTTGTTTTGCAAGTATATCAGTGCATCAGGTTTGTGTCCATGGGGTTGGGGTATGAGGGAGGGGCTATAGGGGTGGCTCCTGTAAAAAGCTTCTACAAGCTCCCCCAGCGCCAAGTTGGACCTGCCTCTGGCCAAGAGCGAGCCAATCAGCGCCTCTGTGGCAATATACCTAAGAGGTGAAAAACCTATTGGGGCACCAAGGTCGGTGAAGGAGGAGCTACACCAGAGCGGAGCCCATGGTGATAAGGTAGGCTGTCCCCTGCAGCCCATGGAGGTTAACAGTGGAGAAGATACCTGCCTGCAGCCCATGGAGGACCACAAGCCAGAGCAGGTGGCTGCACCTGAAGAAGGCCGTGACTCTGAGAGAAGCCTGCGCTGGAGCAGTCTGTTCTTGCAGGACAGCACCCCATGGAAAGGCCCCATGTTGGAGCAGTTCATGAAGAACTGCAGCCTCGTGGGAAGAACTCGGGTTGGAGAAGATTGCAGAGAGCTCTCTCCTGTGGGAGGGCCCCCACACTGGAGTAGAGGAAGAGTGTGAGGGGTCCTCCTCCTGAGGAGGAAGTAGCAGTAGCGCCTTAACAACAGCTACAGGATTCCCTACATCTCACCCATTGAACCACGTGTACCAAAAAGATCATCTAGAAGTTGCCAGCAACTGTCAATGCTGCTCTTTGACCATTCTTCTGCCTACTCCTCTCCCTCCTCATCCAGCACCAACTTACACCCAGATTGCTGTAAGACAAACTTGAAAGCATCTTTGTGTTTCATTAGCCTGTTTCCCATACTGTCTGCTCACTTCATACGACTTTGATAATTTTTAGCATCTAAATGATTTTTAAAACTGAAAACCTGCATGGAACCCACAAGTTGCTGTATAACTTCTCTTCTAAGGCCTGGTTTCCAATCATAGCATGAGATAATCAGATAATGGGTACCAGTCTTAGTTTCCACATAAAAATAGGCATCCAAATAGAACACAAGTATCCTACAGGCACTCTCCTGAGGAGAGACTTACAAGTGAAACCATATAAGGCAGGGAATTTCTTAATTATTGCTACTGCCAGAAGAGCTCTTCTCTCACAGGTCACCAATCACCAGGCTTAACAGGAAATCTATCTGCACCAACTTCATTATTCACAGAACAAGATAATCTGCACAGCTTTCAGATCTTTGCTTTTTAATGATTTAAATTCAAATTGATAAAAAGATTATTATCTTTGCCCCTTTTTGTACACTGTATGTAACTACAGATACACAAAACAGAATTAAGAGTGCAAATATTTATGCTAAGAGCCAAGTAACTGTTTACTGGATAAGCTGTTTCTTTAAAACTTAACCCAAGTCTGAAAAGTTTACCATTTACTTTAAGCATGTCCTAAATTTAGCTCCCAATACAATACTTCTCTTTTAACTAAGGGAAGGGTCATGCATATGCAACAGACAAACTTAAATGCAGGAAAGTCAGCTTGAATTTTTCCTTCCGCGCTTCTACAGCAAACCACATTAGAAGTGTCTTTGCAAAATAATCCCCAAAATTCAGTGTTGTTCCAACCTACTTGGTACCAAAAAGAAAAACACAATATGTGGGCCATGTTGTAACATTCACACATGTTCTCAGTACAAAAATTATTTAAGACTGCAGAGATTAAGCTTACACTATAATTAGATATTACTTCATGATCACTGCCAACTCCTTTAGCCCAGGGATCTACTATCCCAGTACATGTCTCACACTGACCAATCCATCTACTCCATCCTATGAGCTCTGACAAAACCCAGCAAAGTTGTAGATGCCCCCTTCCTGGAGACATTCAAGGCCAGGTTGGATGAGGCCTTGAGCAACCTAGTCTAGTTGAGAGGCGTCCCTGCCCATGACAGGGAGGTTGGATTAGATGATCTCTAAGGTCCCTTCCAGCCTAAGCCATTCTATGATTCTACGACAGCCCTGCACCACAGCTCCTGCACAAAGACACATACTACACATGAGGACTACTGGATAACAGCTAATGGCAATGGTTGCTCCAGTGTCAGGTGTAGGACAGGAATTGTAATCAGAAACAAGAAATCTGTTGTTTTAGGGCTGTCCCAATGCTCTGCTCATTCTTGAGAAGTACAAAGTCTTCAGGCAAGCTTTAGTGCATGCAAGAAGAGACCAAAAACTTCAGAGAGTACAGGCATGATGCCACAGAAAACCCCATTAAAATTAGTAACTGTTACCACAGTAAGCTTTGAATAACAGTAGCAGGACCACAGATCAACTACACAGAAATGAATCATCAAATAGATGCTAACTAACTCCATGGTTACTCTCTGCCTCACATGTTGCACGATGAAAGAAATTTGGGGGTAGGGAGTCAGGAGTTGGAACACAACATGCTATCATGTAACGAAACCAGCAGTTGGCAAGAAAGAAATCAACCTTTATTGTTGTTTATGCTCCCTTACACAGGACCCTTGGCTCTTGGTTTACCTCCGCAACCTTAATTACGCTATTCTGCTAGAGTCCTCAGTAAGCATGCAATATACCATTGAACTGAACAGTCAACATGTTAAATGTAACAGCTGATACAGCTCTGTAACACCAATAAGCCCATTTTGATAAGGACTTAGATGAAAAAATAGTTGCTTAGCATCTCATACCCATGAAAAATGGATCCCACATAGACTGTATAGCAATTATGCACTAAAAAAATGCCAACAAAACCTTGTATCTATGTCATGAAGCACAAATGGTGATAAAATACAATGCCAACTTTTAAACTCAATCCTTTTTTTTAAAATAATGATCCTGATGAGATTTATTTTTTTAGCAATCATGAAATCCTTTTACCATAAAAAGCAAGGCAGAAAATAGTGGATTAATTTACAGCTTTGATGTACAACTGATCAACTTATGGAAAAAAACAAACAAAAATACAACTTGTATTCTAATTTCATGAAATTTTAAAGAATAGCCATAACTTTTCTTTCTTCTTTTCAAAGAAAGCTTAATAATTTCTGTTTAGATTACATACTTAACTAATATACTCAACTAACTGCAGTATAACCTGATGAGGACCAAAAAGACTAAAAAGCTAAATCTCATGAGTCTCTTCTTTTGTTTTGGTATGCCTTTCTTGTTTGTTTTTGAGTTGGGTTTTTTTTTTAGGGGGGTGGTTTTTTTTTAAAGAAAAAGATATTTAAAAACCTGATTGTCACATTCTATGCTGCAATACCTTTTCATAATTGCACAAATAAAAATACGAATTCTTAAGATCAGCAGATCAGTCTTTGCAAGTTTGTCAAGCCTTAGATGTAGCCAAATTTTAAGCTGTTGCTATTTAGCACTCCACTCCTTCTCAACTGTTAGAGTGAAGATGTACACAACAAAGAAACTGACTATGCAGGCAAACTTCATGTACCTCATGTACAAGTAATCAAAAAAACTCACACCTTCTTCCACTCTCTTGCAAATGTAATAATTCTAGACTATATTTTACAACGTCACTGCTTCTCCTCACCTGACCCACTGCAATTCTATCCAGTGTACTGGATATTTTCTGTCCCTGAAGTGAAGGTCCATATAGCACAAGACAAAGTCAGTTTGTCATCTTCTGCTAAAGAATCTGTACAAGAGAACCAGCTCAATAAAGTGAGTGGAAGGTCATAATCAATTATCTGGCGTGTCAGTTTAAACAAATAGCTCAGAAGTTATCTGAAGTTAAATAAAAAAATAACACCTCAGTACTTAGGACCGCCTTCAGCAACTGTTCACTAACAAATCTTAAAACAGAGTTTAAACCAAAGGACACTGATGTATTTGAGAAGTACTCAGTTATCTAGGTAACTAAACAAGCAGATTTGTCCCTGTCCATGGCAGTGGGGTTGGAACTAGATTATCTTTTAAAGTCCCTTCCAACCCTGACAATTCTATGATTCTATTGCTAACTGTCTAAAGACTAGACAGCACTGACAAGAATTTTTTAACTCTTACTTTACCTTCAGCAAATGTGCTTTCCTTGCAAAATTTTCAGAAACTGCGTGCAAACAACAGCACGTTAACAGCCACAGACTGCCAGCTGCAAGAATAATAAAGCTTAGCAATCTTCAGCAATGCCAACATGGTTAAACTAGCAGTTCAGAACTTTATGTATTTGAGGGAGATTTGTTTTTAAAGCAGACCAAGAAATGCGCTGCCAGCCAATGATGACAGCGATTCACAATAGAAGCACAGGCAGCAAGTTTCAGCATTTTCTTTTGGTTGAAAAGGATTTGTGTGAGCCCTTGTCTGACAGATGATATGGAGTGGGACTAATACTTCAGCCATCTTAATTCATCAACTTGCAAAATGAAAAACAAAAACATGTGCTGTTCTAGACCAGTTTTTTCCTCCCCAAGTAAGAGGAGCCTCTTGATGAGATCAGGTACCAAACAAAGTCCTATTTCCTGAATACTTGCTGTTGCTGAACACCTGTCTTTCCTTTTACTTAATGTTCAACTCGAGTTTTCCCCGCACTATACTGAAAGGCATTAACTGAGTATAAATGGTTTTGAGATTCTCCTTAGCACTAAAACCAGTATGAGAAAAAGTACGTCCATATGAGTTTAAGATGTAAATTCAGAGCACAAGGAAGGATGATAGTTAGAAATAAGTAAGCTCAAGTTTACTGTACAATTTGTCAATGTTCTCCATCAGTCATCTCTTTTTAAATTAGTCATTCACAACTATGACAAATATGCAAACAGCGCGTGAGCTGCCAAGAGTCTAACAATTGTTTTACTGCTATTGTAACACGTTTAAGTTTTCTACACCTGTCCACTACAGCTGGCATGAAACACAGATTTACAGTA